ATCATGTCATAACTTAAATATTACTAATATATATATTGACAAATATTAGCCATAACTTTTTTTGGTTGGCAATACTATATTTGCATGACATATCAATTTTTTTTTGTCATTTCTTCTATTCACAGTGCAATTCCATTAGTATATATCGACAAAAGATTTTTGTCGGTATATATTAAAGAATATAGCAAAAAACTATTATGTCAGTAAATTTCATTGTAATTCATTGACATAATTTTTTCATCGATATTTCTATTTGTATTTTTTAATTTTCTTGTAGTGAGATTATTTGTCTTACTTTTTTTTTATTATTTTATGATTACTTTTAATAGCGAGTTTATTATTGAGTAATAATCTCTTCTTTTTTTTTTTCAATATATATTTTCTTACACAAATATTCTATAAGATGAACTATTAGTTTTGACCCTAAATGAACGCAACTAATAGATTATACAACTTGAAAAATAAAGAGTGTTTTGAACCTAAATGAGCACACCTAATAGATTATACAACTTGGAAAATAAAGAGTTAAATAATGAATCTCTAGTGTGTGTGTATGAACATTCTAGCTTATCTCGGGGGTGATTATTATTTTCCTTTGAGCATAATCAAACTCCTTACAGTATAACTCTCTAAACTATTCATATGTATCTTAATTAGCTACGAATCATCTTTTTTCTATATTAGCCTTCTTTTATGTTGATAGACGAGGCATTTTGTCCAACACCTTATTTTACAAGGACATCCTTTAAACTCCTAGAATTAATGGCATTCCTAATTGGGATATTCATGTCCAAGAAGTATGTCCTCGTGTTGTAGGTGAGTTAATTTCATCAACCTTTTGATCTTAAGGACTAGCATTGTGAGGATGGCCTGTTTGTTAAGGCTCAAAGTGATCTTCCTGGTCCTCAAAATAGACAAGATCATGGGTGTCTTGTAGGAAGAAATCCTAAGAAAATTAGCCTAAAAGTTCGAGTCTAGGATAGGTTTTCTAGACAAGGTTATGATGATTCTCGAAATGTTAAGTCGAGTCGAGGCAAATGTCTAATTGATCGAAAATTGGATCGGTGGGGTCTGCCAAGAAGTTTGGCCTTCCACCCAACACAATTTAGAGCGTCCAAGGGACCCGTCCATCACTCGATATATTCAGCTTTATATCCCTCATGGTCTGTTCCTCCTCGTACAACTTCTCAATTTGTTTCACAGCCCAACTATATATTCAGCTAGTTCTTCTGGTGAATTTCGTGTAACTAATTAAGAGAAAGAGCAACAAAATCAAGTGGTTTGGCACTATCGATGGCATGTCTACGGATTTCCCCCGTTTTCCTTTATTCCTTGAGAAGGAACTCGAATACTTTGTGACTGTCATCTAAACATAGTTATATTTTTATTTTTTTTTGTTAGTTTTGATGCTAACACCAGCTAGGTTTTTCTGGTAGTATTACATAAATAAACAACCAATTAATTAAGCCTCAAGAGTTGTGTAGAAAATCTACATGTACAACCCACTGCATTACAAGGAACAAAGCATGGGAAGAGAGCCTCATCTTTGCAGGAATGACCTTTATGCAAGTCCCTACAGCTTCCAATGTAGTATGGTGGCCACATCCTTTACCTAACAAGGGAAGAAAGAAGGAAAATGCAGTAGTGAATAAAGTCTATATATAATTAGAGTGGTTTTATTACTTAATTTATTACGTTACAGGAAGATTATGATCGACAAGCAAGACTATAATAGAGTGCTGCTGCTGCATTTATTAGAGAAGGAGATGCTGGTAATCTCCATTTCATATATATGTTCATTAATCTCGATCGAAAATATAGCTCATTTAAGCATCTACAAAGTACATCTGGGAAAGAAAGTTAAGAACCAAGATAGGGTCACTGATATTTGGATGATGTTCATACGGAGAGAGAGGGAGAGAGGCTGTACTCAAGCCCCCAGAGCTCAAAACTGCCTTTGACAAAATCATAATAACCACCCTTCAGTCCTAGAGTTTTGTTCACCAAGCCATCTCTCACAAACGGGTAGGTTAGCAAGTGTCCAAGGGACACGTTCACTGCCTCCTGCAATATCGATTTACACTTGTTATTATTAGCAATTAATTAATGCCACTCGAAGTTGATCGTAGCTAAGCGCTTGCCTTTTCACATTGTGTGCACAGGTCTGGGAAAGGTGAATTGGCATGTTCTGCTAAAACCTTAGTCTTGGCAGGGTAGCACACTTTGACCCAGTCTTCTATGAAATCACTGCATATAAATCTCAATCATTAATTATACAATCGATATAAAAAGAAACAAATAACTCAATGGACTTCTTAATTAAGACGCTAGCTTACGTACGTTGATGTTGTTCCATCATAAGGGAAGGACATGAGGCCCTTAATTCCACCACAGGCGCTGTGTCCAATGACCACAATGTATTCCACCTGCAACACTCGCATGAACACCGATCAAACTTAAGCCTGGTTCTCCTGGCTGGTTTAAATATCAAATATGTGTGTGTGTGCGCGCGTGCATTCCATCGGTATTCAAGCAGTCTGAGAAGTTAATTGGCTGTCGACGGATCAGGAGAATTTCATTATCATGATGGGTAAGTAGCTAGCTCACCTTCAGATGCAAAACTGCGTACTCTACGGCTGGCCCCACTCCAGCGTACTTAGTCTGTTGCAATAAAAACAGAAAATTAAATAATTTTATCGCTGGGAAAGAGGAAAGATCACAGAGGA